GCATGAGCTGGTACAAGCCTCCTCTCACATCAACTGAACCAATCTGCATTGGAGTTTTTGTGTCCTGAATAATGCAGTTTTTAGCAGTAAAAATTAGTTGGCATGGTATATTAGAGACAAGTTTGGAGATGAAAATTAAATTAAAAGTGAAAGAAGGAACATATAGAACATCTGTGAGCTGAAAAACTGCAGAAAATTTAACAATCCTAGAGTGTGTGGCAGTGACTTGGTGACCAGTAAGAAGGCGTACAATAATTGGATCAATGATGTGATATGATATGAAATATTTAAGGGAAGATGACAAATGCTCCCGAATCAAGGATCCAAGAAGTTATGTGTTATGTGTTGGTAGTGCAAACAATTGATTCGACTTTACCTGAGACATTAGGTTTGTGTGTGGAGCAAGATGAAATGGAACCAATTTGATTAGTGTGAGCTGCATTTGATGTTGAAGCTGCATTTGGTGGTTGCTAAATTAAAGCTAATAAAGCTCGATATTGTTGAGGTGAAAAACAAACATCTTGGTGATCAATCTCTGCAACCTTTCCTTCTCCAGTCACAACATTATTGATGGTTGAAGATTTTTAATTATGTAGACGGTGTCCGGGAGGAAATTAACCCATGTTTCCTATAACACACATCAATAGTGTGCCCACTCCTACCATAATGAGTGCAGGTTTTCCCACGGTTATATGTACCTTTGTTGTTCTTGTTATTAAAGTTGGGAGGAAAGCCATGTTTGTGATAACAAGTACTCTCAGTGTGCCCAGTTTTTCCATAAAATTTCAATTTGAACCCGAGCCAGAAGCATTAATAGAACTCTGTTTTGTTCCTATATTGACATTTGCAATGAAATTTCCACTCATCGATAATTTTCTTTCTTGTTGAGCCACATATGAAAATATTTTTGTAATAGGAGGCAATGGATCCATCAAGAGAACATGAGATCTTACATTAACATATTGATCATTGAGTCCTCGTAGAAATTGCATTGCTTGATCTTCTAATTTTCTTTTAGCAATAACGGATGTAACTCTACATGTACATTTAGTACTGCATACACAAACTGGTTCTGGCCTGAACTTCTCCGATTCATCCCATATTATTCGTGGTTTAGTAAAGAAATCTGTGACAGAAAGATCACCTTGTTTTATAGAGGATGCCTCCAATTACAAGTCTAAAATTCGAAGTAGATCTCTTTATGAATATCGAGCTTTAAGGTCACACCAAATCTCTTCTGCTCGATCCTTCCAGAGAATCCTTTAACGTATTGATGACAAAACTGAATGTACCAGCCAAGAAACCACCATGTTGTTACACTTCTTCCAAGCTCCATACATTTTGTCGGTATTCGATGGTTGTGGAGCACTTCCATCAATGAATTCTAATTTATTCTTAGCGCTTAGAGCAGTTATCATGGACTTGCTCCAAGAATGATAATTTGTTGAATCAAGGGAAGGAGAAACAAAAGCTGTAGCTGGATTTTCATTTGGATGTAGATAAAAGTGACTATGAACATTGAGAGATTGATCATGATCTCCACTCATCTTTACAGATATTGAATCAGAAAACAAGTGCGCAGTAGAGCCCTTCCAAGAAGAGCTCTGATACCATAACAGAATGCACACAAGGCAAAAAAATAAATGACAGATTGAACATAAAGATAATAGACGGAGAGAGATGGAGAGCAATAAATAATGATGACTTGCTTGGTGTTAATATTGTGAAAAGTATGACTTATATACAAGCTGAAAACGAAACTGAAATAAAAAGATAAAAAGAGATAACAAACTACAAATAACATAATATCTAAACAGATTATAATAGATATAACATATTATCGTTAAGAAATTCAGTTTCACATTATTCCAAAATTTGAATGTGAGATCAAGAGATTTGAATGTTCACTACTAGATTTTAATTCTTTAGCAACATTTTCTTGTTTACATTTGTTAAAATGTTACTATATATTAAACAAATAGATTATTTTGCAACACTTTTTTAAAAATGTCATTATAGATAGAGTAACATTTTTATTTCAATATTATTTTTTCTAATTGTTTTTAAAATCAAAGTCCCATATCGAGTAAAAAAATTTTACGTAAGTTATTTTGCAACATTTTTTTGAAAAATATTACTATAATTATTTCTAAAATCAAAGTCCTACATCGAGTAAAAAAAATATTTCTCTTATATCTAATTGTTACCCATAATTAAAGTCTCACATCGAATAGACTAATGACTCAAAAAGAGTATATATAACCATATAGTTATATTTAAGATAAATGAAATTTGATATTTTATATATAATTAGTGGTAACTAATTAAGAATTAAGAATGTCTTCTCCTAAAAAAATAATTAAGAATGCCTTTAATCTTCTCTCAAAGAACTCCTAGGAGTTTAAAAGGCATAAAATTATATCTAAATTAAAATTAATTATCATTTTATAAAATTAAAAAAATATTGGCAACATCATTAAAATGTTACAAAAATACTACTTTGATAACATTTGAAAAATGTTGCCTAATTATATAAAAATGTTATTAAAAGTCTTTAGCAACATAGACTATATACAATATTTGAAAATATGTTGCTAAAACAAATTATTAGTAACATTTATACATAATTAAGTAACATTTTTTAAATATTGTTAAAAACTATTTGTGTTGTAGTGGTTGAGAGGAGAAACCTCCCAATCAAGTATAGATCCTTAAGTTACTTACTTGAAGCAATTGATTGGTAGGTGAAATAGTTAAAAATGCATATAAATGCTTGAAGAAGATAAAAATAACAAAGCTTAAATTTAATGCTATAAATTTGATAAAATTAAATTAGACAAAAAAAAACCGAGGAAAATTAAAGATACATGTGTTTGATTAATCTGATGACCCCTTTCATGTAGTTTGATACACATTTATAATACAATCGTGTTGTCACAGCCCACACCCACTAATTGGTGTGGTTGCGTCAATCTCCAGTGCTGGGGCGCATCCCATGATCTTATCTTTTAGGAAGTATCTTTGAAATTCTAGATTTTTGTTTTGTTTTAAACACCCGTAATCGTTGGGAACACCATCCTTGGTTTTTCGCCCTCCAACTTTAATACCTTTTGTTATAATAATCAAGATGTTCAATCAAGTTTTGGATTCTATGCGTACTATATACCCGAATTAATTAATTGCTTGATGTATCTTTTACCAACAAAATCGACAGACAAGCTTCAAATATTTTTATCTTTTCTACTAGCCAACTTTTGACTAACAATTTTTTAGTGGTAACATATTTTGTACTCTGAGTCATGTACTATCTTATGATTATGTGCACGTATGTTATTTATTTGATGATGATATTGTTATACATTATGTATGTAACTTTTTGGTCTTGTAAGTAAAGTCTATTTTTGTAGTCTAAGTTCTATATACTATTTGTTATATGGGTAGGAGTTGATGATTTACAAATTAAGCAATATTGACCGACAACAATAGTCATTTCAAAGCACTTATTTTTGAAATAATATGTGTTCTAGAATATCTATTTCAAAATAATTATATTGTGTTCCGAAATACTTATTTTGAATTGGTAAATTATGTTCTAGATCACCTATTTTGGATTGATACATTATTTTTTAGAACACCTATATTTTAGAAAATGTAAGATAGGTGTCTCAAAATATATTAAAGATATTTTAGACATTTAAAAATGTTGGGTGTGAGTGAAAATTTGCTTGATGCGGTGAGAAAATCTCTATAATTACTATGTTACTTTCTTTATTAACTAATTTGTTCTTCATCAATCACCTCACCTTGTACACTGATAGACCAAAACATACTAAAGGAAAACAATAGAGAACATATTGAGTAGTATCTATATAATGTTTAGGTTTTAATTTTCTTCTTGTTATTGTGCACAAGAAACAATAAATGGTATTGTATTGAAAAAATAATTTAAATTTCTAAATTCAAATTTTAAGATGTTGTTTAGATTTGAAAGATATTTTTTTAGGATATTATATAGAATTGAAATATATTAAATTTATTTTATGAATTTATTTCCCCTTTTAAAATTAGTATATATCCATGGTTAATAAATAGAGATTTTTGATATAAGAAGAATCATTCTACTTGTAGAAGAGATTATTATCCTAAATGAAAGGAAAAGTTATATAAAGGAGGATTTACCAAACTTGTGAATAAGTTAGGGTTTACTAAATTTTGTTAAAAAATTTGTATTGAGAGTTTTCAAGTTTCATTTATCATAAAATTTGTGAGGAATGTTTTCAACTTTCAACCCGTAAAACTTGAAAGAATATTTTTTCAAATATATATAATACATTTTGAGATAAAAAATATCTAGTAGATTAAGACATGAAAAGTTGAACCATATTAAATGAATTTTATATAATTTTTCTATTTTTTAATATTTTTTTTGTGTGTTCGTAGACAAAGAAAAGAATTGAAGTTTTTTTTTGTCACATTGGCACCAATAAAACTTACATAGATTCACCTAGAAAATACCAGCTACATACTCATCTATGAATGAACTGCTAGTAAGGGGAATGACAAACTGCACTATATATTAGAGGCTGAAATTTAGAAATATTCTTGAAAATGTTAGAAAAAATATTGTCAAGAATAAGCTAGAAAAAAGAGAGGCTAGAAATAGGCCATCACATGTATCAAATTGTCGTATCACTTCCTTCCATGGATCAATAAAATCCAGCTTCCTCCTAAAAGCAAGTAGCCTTATATTACCTCCTAATTTCCAAATCAATCTTTCTCCTCGTGCAACTATTCAATTGTTACCAATTTAATACCTCTATATCTTTTAATTAATTAAACTCACGTTTCTAAATTCTATCATGCAATAACTTTGAAATATGATTTTCTAAACTAATACCAACAAGGCCACTAAAAATTAGATAATTAACAAAAGTTTATAGATTTAAATATCAAGTCAGCTACTATATTAGAAATGTTAAATTTCAAAACAATATATGTAATTAAGAACTGAGCCACCAGCCTTCAAAGACCAATTAATTAATAAACAAACACATAGTTGACATGTTCTTATTGATCATAACAAGGCATTTGTAATTTGATCTGATTATGCAACATAGTAAGTCAACAATGAACAATATAGAGAATGTATGAGTAAGCGTGATCAATTAGCTGTTGTAAAACTGAAAGAAGCATAAGATATAGAACAACCATCCCAAGTATCGTGCACAACTTTGGCCTTTGCGTTTTCACCAGCAGCTCCCATGGCCACATGCAATGGGAAGAAGTGATCTGGCTCGGGGTGAGCCATTTTTGCATAAGGGGCCTTCTCTTCGTATTCATTCACTTCCTCGTATCTACAACACCCATGCATTAAACCATACATCAGAATTCCATGCTATCCTTTTACGTACAACTCAAACTGGTTTTAAGCAAGAGTAAAACTACTGAATTTCGCTAAAGAAAAAGTGTCAAAGAGTGTATTGCAGATTATTTATATCTAATATCTTAAAGGTTTAATTACCTTTTTCTACTTTATAATTTCATGAAAATTACCTTTTAATTTTTATAATTAACAATATTTATTTTAGTCTATGCATATCGTTTTAGTTTTTAGTAACTATAGTTTTATAAATTTTTCTTTTTAGGTTCTATAAGAATAGACCATAAGGACTAAAAGGAAACAAGAATAACAAGCATATAAAAATTAAAAGGAAATATTTTTAAGTTTATGAAATTATATAGACTAGAAGGACAATTAAATTTATCTTAAACAATTAAGAGTTTAAGATCTTATAATGATTAGGTGGGTAGTATTTGCAATTTTTTTTATGTAAAAATTATTAGGTGGTCTTGAATCACATGATAATTAAGTGAATTATTAATTTTTCTTGTGAATTAAAAAAGTTAAATACATATTATATAAAAATCTCTTATAATCAAAGATATTCTGTGATCCTAAACCCTTTTTAATTATTTTCCTAATTTAGAATTGGTATACATAAGAATATGACATTACAATAAATATTATATATAATGACATATAAAAAATGTCATTATAAATATAATATATATGAATATAAATTTATTTAATATATAATTACACATAATTTTAATATTAATTTTAAAAGAAATTTAATAATATACATACATTATAGTATCACAATAATTTATATTTACACGTTTTAATAATATATTAATATATATATATATGATAAGTAAAAATAAGTTTTAGTGAAAATATGTGGCAATGTAGAATACGATAATTTTTTGTAATGAGTATATATGGAAACCAAAGCATTAAATTAGTTACCTGCCATCAAGAAGAGAGGTTTTTAACCAGGACATAAATGCCGTGGCCCATGGAGGAGGTGGGGTACCACGAGGTCCAATGGCTCTGAGGTTGTGGGTGGCACTGCCAGAGCCAATGATTAGAACACCTTCATCCTTAAGAGGGGCCAAAGCTTTTCCCATGTTATAGTGATAAGTAGCACCTTTGTTGGATGAAACTGAGAGCTGACACACTGGGATATCTGCCTCTGGGTACATCAAGTACAGAGGCACCCATGCACCATGGTCAAGCCCACGTTTCTTATCTTCATCCACATGGCTCAACCCTGATGCCAAGAGTAGTTCCTTTACCCTCTTCGCCAACTGTGGAGCCCCTGGTGCTGGATACTTGAGCTGCCAACAAAGGGTACAAGTTCAATGTAATAGATTTTCCATTGTAATTTAAGGATTTTGGCACTGTTATGTTTACATGTACATTTTTTGTGGTTGAATCAGAACTAAATCCAAATTATTTTTCTCTTATTTCTCTTTTATTTAGTGTATCTGAACTTATTTAACTATCGACCAGAAAATAACTACATTAAAATAGGGAAAGCTAGACACATAGTAAGATTAAAAGAAAATAATGAATTCTAAGTCTACTAGTAAACACCCCCCTTGCCCGGATCCTAGGACGAAGGTACCTTCGGCCTAGCAAGAGGCCGAAAGAAGCACCTCAACCGATAAGTCTTCATCCAGACCAAACACCCCTTCGGCCAGGACAACAGCCGAAGGGTAACTACCCCCCTCCTCGGCCGTACGAATGGCCGAATACCTATCCCGCAACAAAAGATAAGGGATTATTTCAAAACTGGGTAAGAGAACATCAAGGGAAAACGTTTAAATCCCTCCCTTCGACTTCGAACATGACCGAAGACCCCTTCAGCTTCGAGCATGACCGAAGACCCCTCCAGCTTCAAGCTTGACCGAGCCCCCCTTCGGCTTTGAGGAAGGCCGAACCCCTCCTCAGTCATGAAAACAACCGAACACTTATTTGGCCAAAAGCTTGGCCGAACACCTAAAAGAATGTAAACCCGCATGGGACAAAGGTAAGTTAGGTTATCTAATACACAATGCTTATCGCGCTTAATTAAGAAAGATCAAGGTTAATCAAACGATTACCCATCTCCCAAGACAGAAGGCCCACCAGGCCCAAACACGTCACTATAAATACACAAGTGATGGGACATAAATGAGATATGATTTATCTAGTATAAAAGCCTTTATTGCTCTCTACCAAACACTTATTTGAGCGTTGGAGTGCCTTTGTAGGTACCCTCCCTACCTTTTGGAGATAGTGTTCGGTCGACACCGAAAACTTAGAAGACCGTGAAGAAGAAATGAAAAGAAAAATGTTTCTAAGCAGGAACACTAAGTATTTGTACTTCTATTTGAATTATATCGAATCATAGTCAACAAGTATGTAATATGAGCAGCAAAACTATTTAGTACAAAATAAAAGTTAAGAGATTAAATATGAACATTAGGGGAATCAATAATCATATATGGTGGGATCCTAACCAATAGAGTTTGATTAAGAATTTGAGTTCACAATATTCGTAGGAAGAGCGATTAGGTGCTTAACTTTTCTTATTAAGAATTTGTTTGATTATAATTAAAAGTGTTTTTAGAATTTTTCTATTAAAAATATGCATTATTTTTGATAAAAAAAAACTTTAAAAAATATTTATAAATTTGTATTCAAATATGTTATTAATAAATAAAAATAATAATTCTTTGTTGCATACTCTTTAATGTGTGGCACACAACATTCAAGAATTGTAATAAAGGAGTCAGATTTTCTTCTCAATTAGATTCTCAGGATGTCAGGAGATTTTTGAATTAAATTGTATTCATGTTTTTTGATAAACAAATTAAGTAGCTGATAGTTTTTTTAAGTTAAAATTAACTTTCATCGAGAGAGTGCATTATTTTACTTTTCTACCAAGTTAGACGCATTTTTTTAATTATTAACTGGTTGGTCTGTTGTTTCTTTTTTTCTTCGCAGATTCTAGTTTATTATTAGTTTTTAAGCCCCTTTATTAATAAAAAAAAATGTGTGGCACCCAAGACACAATTCTATCTAGTTTCTTGAATTACATACTTTAATTATTTATTAATCCGATTCGGTTGTATTTAGTTGAGATTAAAGGTAGTTTTCAAAAGGGAAGGTTGGGAGAAATAAGGGCTAGAAGCATAGTTTTAAAAACTGGACCGGTCATCAAACCGGTTAAGGTACTGGGTCAGTGGGTTAAAGGTTGAACCGGTGGGTCACTAGTTGAACCGCATGACTCGATTTTTATTATTCTTTTTAAAAATATTTATGTTAAATATATTTTATACTTATAAATTTTAATAAATTCATATCTTATTTTAAATTTCAATTCTTCTATTTTATTTTAAAAAAAATTGTAAAAAAATACCTTAAAAAATTACATGTTAAACTGTATATTAATATAAATTAAAAATATAAATAATATGTACATATATAATATGTTTGCAATTGATATCACAAAATAATATATGTAACATTTACATAGATATTATATTATTAAATATATAATTTAAAATTAATAATATACTATAAAATTTATTTAAGTTATATATATTACAAATAAATATATTAGAACAAGTAGTCATTGTTATATTTAATAAGACTCTTTGCTCTTCTATTAAGAGATTCAATTTTCATTATTATTTTTTTGATTTATGGTCTTTAAAAAAATAAATAAATAAATAATAAAAAAAGTGTAGTTGAACCGGTTTGACCCACCGGTTCACCTGTTGAACCAAAAAATTAATCAGTTCAATCCAGTTTGAAATAGTTCGATTGCATAACCGATCTAACTTAAGATTCGGACCGGCTAAACCACCAATTTCTGATCCAACTGGTTCACCCGGCCAATTCGATTCAATTTTTAAAACACTGGTTAGAAGTGAATGATACCAAAAGAAAAAGAGAAACTTAAAATAATATTGGAAACGAAAACTTCATCAGTCGGCATTTGTTGGCGGAAAAAATGAACGGCTACCAGCTAGACCAGGTCAGAACCATAAACTTCTAAAAACAATAAGACATTGTTTCATAGAAATGTACACGCGGAAATTAAAAAAAAAAACAATTGCTAACGAAACAGTCAAATTAATTATTTCTTATTCATACTTTAGTTTCTCTCTCTCTCTCAATTTCACACCATGATGCTACACACAATCAACTTGGCTAAAATACAGTAATATTAAAATTAAAAGTGGGTTTAGCTTTTTTTTTTTTTTTTTTATCACAAAAGTTTGTCACTTGTTTTAAAATCTATTTAAAAACTAATAATTTTTAATATTTAATGACAATATATTATCTTTCCAATGTGAAAGATTAGTTGGCTGATAATCATTTTCACCAAACCCATTCAAATAAAATGCAATACGAAAATAATATTTTTACATTAATCATTTGCTCTTTTCAATGATAACGGTATATATATATATATATATATATATAAATTTATTTTATAAGATCAGAATTTAAACTATGAACAAGTTAATTAAATGACACAAGTTAATACTACTTATTTCAAACAATGTTGGTATAATAATCAATGGTTAATTAAATGACGTGAATAGTTTATAAAGTGAAAATTTACACAATAGGGATTTAAAAAAAATATATATGCATATCGAAAAACCTATTAATTATTGACCTACTATCATCAAAAAAATTTCATGAATAATATTAATATCAATTATTTTAAAAGTAAATTTAGACTAATTAATTATATAACATTTATTTACCCAAAATAAATATTAAATCAAATTTAATTGCATTTTTAGTTTCTTAAATTTCACAATTAGTTGTGGCTAATTCTAACAGAATGCACAAGGTAGAAAAATAAATGACAGATTGAACATAAAGATAATAGACGAGAGAGAGATGAAGAGCGAAAAATAATGCTAACTTGCTTGGTGTTATTATTGTGAAAAGTATGACTTATATACAAGCTGAAAACGAAACTGAAATATAGAGATAAAAAGAGACAAGAAACTGCAAATAACATAATATCTAAACAAATTATAATACATATAACAGATTATCATTAAAACCCCCTCAAGTTGGGAATGTATGTTCATCATTCCTAGCTTAGAACGAAGACTTTGGAATAATGTAGGAGATAAAGCCTTTGTGAAGATGTCAGCAAGTTGAAGAGATGAGGTTACTGGAAGAAGTTTGAGCAAACTAGAATTAACTTTTTCACGAACAATATGGCAATCGATCTCGATATGTTTAGTTCGCTCATGAAAAACTTGATTTGTAGCTATTTGAATTGCAGATTGATTGTCACAATAGAGGATTGCAGGTCGAGTAAATTGGATACACAGATCTTCAAGGAGGTAGGTCAACCATTGGATCTCACAAGTGGTGGAAGCCAGAGCACGATATTCAGTTTCTAATGAGCTACGAGAAACAGTGGGTTGCTTCTTAGAACGCCAAGAAATGAGAGAGTCACCAAGATAGATTGAGAAACCTGTAATTGAGCGTCTAGTACCGGGACAACCATCCCAATCTGAATCACTAAAAGCTTTAAGTTGAGGTGTGCTGTTTGCTGACAAAAATATACCTGAACCAGGAGCTTGTTTCAAGTAACGGAGAATACGAAAAATAGCTTGAGAATGAGTCGTGGTAGGAGCATAAATAAACTGACTATATGATGATGAACCGCATGAGTGATGTCAGGACGAGTAGTTATAAGATAGACGAGTCTACCAATAAATCTATGATAAGTTGATGGATCTGGGAGAGGAGTGCCAATGGTTGCAGAGAGGCGAGTGCCATAATCCATAGGTGTGGAAACCGGGCAAGAGGAAAGCATCCCACAATCCGATAGGATATCAAGTGTGTATTTTAGTTGAGATATGTTTATACCAGACTTATTTCGAGCAATTTCAAGCCCAAGAAAATATTTGAGATCACCAAGGTCCTTTATCTTGAATGTGGCATCAAGTAGCTAAGTAATATGTTGTATTTCAGAAATGTTATTGCCTGCAAGGACAATATCATCTACATAGAAAAGAAGTGTTGTGGTCATGGAACCAGAAAACTTGAGAAACAAAGAATGATCAAATGGAGATTGGTGATAACCATGACTAAGAAGAAAGGAAGATAGTTTAGCAAACCACTATCGACTAGCCTGTTTTAACTCATATAATGAACGTTGGAGCTAGTAAACCTGATTGGGATTAGTTGGATGCATGCCAGGAGGTAATTGCATGTAAACTTCCTCAAGTAGTTCACCATGTAAAAATGCATTATTGACATCTAATTGTTTAAGGTGCCAATTATAAATGGTAGCTAAAGCAAGAAGAAGTCTCACAGTCGTAAGTTTAGCAACTGGGGAAAAAGTTAAAAGAAAATCCAATCCTTCTTGTTAAGTGTACCCTTTGGCGACAAGGCGAGCTTTGTATCGTTTGATAGTTCCATCAACATTATACTTCACTTTATGTATCCAACGACATCCAATGGCAGTTTTGTGAGGTGGGAGAGTTGTGGGCATCCTAGTTTGGTTTGTCTCAAGGGCATTTATTTCAGCTTTCATAGCTTTAAGCCAACAGTCACTCTTTACGACTGTA